TTTTTTAAATGAAGTACTGAGGGAATATTTTGACAAAATTAACCCTTTGTTCCTTGAACATCAGTGATTCATGAATCCAGCAGAAGTACAATGCACAATAAGAGATCCCCAATTTTACCTTCATGTAATAAGTTCAATATAGTTCCCTGCAAAAAAATCTAGTTTTTTTAAAAACTCAGTTACAACTCTAAGAAGCAAAGTCAAGTTATTCCCCAGTTCACAGTGGAATATCTATTCTTGCCAAGCATAAATTCTACAAGCAACCCAATAAGAGACGGGTCCTTTTACAGCAATTTCTGTATAAGCGAGCGCAAGAGGCTTTAAAAATTGACATACCCCGCGAAATCTGGTTCACTGGGTGAACTTTCCTTCTTCGGAAATACCAGAAATGCCTTCTAAAAAACAGGTGGAAGAAAAGCCTTGGAAAAGCCACAAATCTGCACCCATGCCACCAGCTTCACCACACGTGGATCAGAGCAATTCATTACCAGCCTTAATGGAAAAAGGTGGGCGGCTCTGCGTCAAGGAGGCGGCTCCTCATTTCCCCCGAATGGAGAATAAATCGCGCAAAAAATGATTACTGCGTCATATTACCCACAAAGGATAGAAGTGGAGGGGGAAAAAGGGGTTCTTTTCAATAAGTTTCAGTCTTCACGCCGAAAAAAAAACCAAAAAAATGTAGAATTTATTCCCCTGTATATGAGCTGCTGCGTATACTGAAATCATGTTCAATATTCCGAATTTGAGAGATTTTTGGTTACGGAGTTTCATCTGTCTTGTTATTTTTCAATGCTATAGGGAAAATTTAACGATCTAATCAATTGATGGAATTCCATAACCACAAAATTCTTCTTTGTGAGTAGATCAGGTAAAAAATAATTGAAACGTTTTCGTCAGCTCATTAAAAAGAAAACCAAAAAAATGTAGAATTTATTCCCCTGTATATGAGCTGCTGCGTATACTGAAATCATGTTCAATATTCCGAATTTGAGAGATTTTTGGTTACGGAGTTTCATCTGGCTTGTTATTTTTCAATGCTATAGGGAAAATTTAACGATCTAATCAATTGATGGAATTCCATAACCACAAAATTCTTCTTTGTGAGTAGATCAGGTAAAAAATAATTGAAACGTTTTCGTCAGCTCATTAAGATACATTTTATTACGGTTTATCCAAGTCCCTGACGAGACGGGATCCTTCAAAACATGGTATTTATAAAAATTCACGTATGACCTGAAATAAGCCTCTGCTCTTTTGTTAATAATTTTTAAAAATTGCATTTTTAAAAATTTAGCAGCGATGAGAATTTCTGTATAATTTTCTAAATTTCCAACATTACATGTCAATCACTACATTTAGAATTTCTCGCGTGAGAATTTAAAAAAACAAAACAGACGTTTTACATTACGAAATCTTTTTTAGATACAGAATCGGGGATTTTCATGCATAATTTAAATGGTCAAATATTTGCGTCCTGTCAATAATGTTGGATGACACACGTAGATTTCCTGGAAATCAAAGGAAATTGAAAAAGTATTCGGAACTCTGAATTTTCAATTAATAAATTTACAGCAGCTAGCTTTTTTATTTAAAGACTTTTTGCTCTACAAAATTGACGAAAAAAAAATAACAAGACAGATGAAACTCCGTAACCACAAATCTCTCAAATTCGGAATATTGAACATGATTTCAGTATATACAGTACAGTATATTATATCTCTCAAAATATTCTTGAAATATTCTCTGTTCAATATCGGCAGTCGAAATTTACACGTTATTGCTGCGAGTTTTTCGTTCGCTGGTATATATCCTTATTTTGCTTTTCGTCTGCAACTTTTATCGAAGTGCAAATTATTTCTACAGGAATCTTCTGATGGACAGTTTCGAAAACTCTGGCATACTTTTTGATGAGACCCTCATTTTTTTTTCCTTGGGTACCTCGTAACTCATCGCGTGTGTCGCTTTCATTTCTTCATTAACCCTTGCTCCAAGATTGGAATCATTAGCATTCCTGGTGGAATTTTTTCCGCGGTTATCAGATCCTCGTAATGTAAGGGCGATCCTCTCCATATACACAACGAAAATGAGAATTGAAAATGTGCATTAAAAAAAAGCAAACCCTCTTCGTCATCCCAGGGTAATATGCATGGGATTTAATTGCTAGACGTGGGTCGAAGCTCTGGGTTTTTTTCAACGTCTTCCACTCTGGTTTTTATTCCAGAGATGAGTAAGAAATTGAAAAGCCCAAGTTTACGGTTTTTTNAGCATTCCTGGTGGAATTTTTTCCGCGGTTATCAGATCCTCGTAATGTAAGGGCGATCCTCTCCATATACACAACGAAAATGAGAATTGAAAATGTGCATTAAAAAAAAGCAAACCCTCTTCGTCATCCCAGGGTAATATGCATGGGATTTAATTGCTAGACGTGGGTCGAAGCTCTGGGTTTTTTTCAACGTCTTCCACTCTGGTTTTTATTCCAGAGATGAGTAAGAAATTGAAAAGCCCAAGTTTACGGTTTTTTGGATTCAACAAGCTTCGATTTTGCATGGTCGATTTTAATCTTTCGGCGAAAACTGAAGTTAATAGGATTCCGAATTTCTGTTGAAGCAATCAAGGTGAGTTGTTGACGAATTCTTGCATTTACGAGCTACCACAAAATCTAAAATAATTTTTGAATGTTATTCCGGAAATAAGAATGATTCTGATCACTGCTAAATTTTCAGAGAAATGTAATTAGAAAAAGTTGATGATAAGTAGATGATTCTAGAGGTCTACGCCACCCAAACTCTTTATGACCAGAAGAAAGTTGTTCGTGTGAATAATTTTTATTTCAAAATTTGGTTTTTAATTGTGGAAGGTATTCATGAGATTCTGGTAATTTTCCCTTGCAGAAACTTTGAGGAAAATGAATATACTGTACCTGTTTCAGTGAAACTGCAGAAGGAATTGAGGTACAGTTAGACCCCCATATTGGGACACTTTCACATCCGGACAATTTGACATATGGACACTTATTTTCCCATAGAAATCAATAAGAAAGACCCAACATGAGGACACTGACTCAACATAGGGACATTTTGTGATACAATTGCACATAAGTTTCAGGCCAAATTACAAGAAACAGATATTTCCAACCTTAAAATTGATGTAAGAAAAGTTCTTGGGCATTTCTCTCACCAATTACTATAAATTTAGCTAATTTTAAAATTAACTCTGGCATAGATGGAGTTCCATCTCTCTTTTTCACTTGAATGTTATTTTTACAGAGAATGCCAACATTTTTATTTACTGTACAGAGGTATCAGTATTCAATTCCCCAAATGTCCATATTGCGTTGAAATATATTGATTGAATCAGTTTCAACTGGGAGACAATTTCTATTTTCATGGAATTATGGTGAGTATTTTGTCCATGAAGCACCAATTAAAAATTATAAAATGCAAGTCTAATGGAAATTAGACTTGACTTAGGGCCACTCTTGATGCACCCATTATAAGTCTGCATCTTGGGGTCCCACTGTAAACGCTGCTTAATTTCTGGCAACCAGATGACGCTTCACCAACAGGTTTTTCCGTCCATGCAGTTTCTCTCCTCGTCCTTCCAGTTAAGCTCTCTTGTATATATATACCTCTTCTATTCCGAACTGCTGCTGCTGTTCTTGTACATTCTCTCGTATAGCGAGGAGGATTCGTAACAGTTCCAATTAAGTGCCGGGCTCGTAAATCCCGCTTGGGTTTCGCACCGCCCACCGGGTAATTAGATCCGCGGCCTGCGGACTCATTAGGTCGAGTTAATGGGAGAGAAAACTCGCTTCGCGTTCATCATCTTCACCCCGTTTTCTTGCACGGAATGAAGCTCTCTTTCTTTTTCTTCTTTCTTTCAGAGCATATCTCCTTTTTCTAGCATACGTGTCTTTTTTTTAAATTTTTTGCTATAGTTTTCCCCTCTGGGAATTTTGTTGTTGTTTTGTCTTCCTCCCCGAAACATGCTGGAAAATTGCTTCATCATGCCTTGAAACGGTGTCAAGTTTCGCTTCCGCCGTGAAAAGCCGTTTCACCCGTGCTGCCCTCTTTCGGCGCAACCGTTTCAAAAAAGTAGAAAAAAAAATATTTGTGTGATTTTTATATTCAAAAAATTTATTTGGGAAGATTTTCAAGTTTATTTCATTAACCTTTTTCCTGCAGAACATTTCCTTGAAAACAATAATTTTTGAAGCATGAATCATCGCCTTCGGCATTTTTTTTTCGTGTGCTTCAAGTCGCGATGATGGAACGAAAACTTTTGACGAATTGAATTTCCCAAATTCCAATTCACTTTTTCACTGATTCGGATTCTGGTAAATTGATGGATACTTGTAACTCGTCTGACAAGAGGACAAGCTAAATAATGTGAATATATTTGAATTTTCTCATCTGTTCCGTGATATATTGCATAACTTTCCTAAAACCGGCACTTCACTTGGAACAAGCAAGAACAGCAAAAATTCACTATAAGCAACTCACAAAAAACATTGTTCACCAAAACTTGTTGAGCAAAAAAACAGCCACTTTTCGGATCAAAAATTCGTTTATTTTGTAGAATCAGGTGCATTTTTTAGTCAGTTGACGCAGTGTTCACGCAGGATTTTTTTGCGAGGCAAAAATGGTTGGCAATGCAGAGTGATTGTGCAAAAAAAAATCTGATATTTAAGTTGATTATACGCGAGATTATTTTTGTGAAATTCCTTTCAAACATTTTACCAATTCTTTTTATTCACTTTTTGAATTCAAACCGCGTAAAAAGTACGGGAAAATCGGCTCGACCACGAATTAAACATGTAGCTTTTCGAAAGCATAGTCGTATAAACCAGCTCACACATTTTTCTCTAATAATCTATCCTTTTTTCACATAGAATCAGTGAACAAATTAATGAACATTTTGTAAAAACCCCAATTGAAGCAAGTTCATCAAATATGGTGTCAAATTTCAAGAGTCAATTTCATTCACGAACGATGAAAGAAGGCGGTTTTGAAAGCATTTGCTTCGTTTGGTGACGGATTTGTTGATTTCAAAACCCGTTTTTTTTTTTTTGCAACCGCTTTTGGTGCTTTTCTCAAGCATTCGTTCGGAATCGTTCATTCAAATCCAAGTCACATTCATCAGACAAATCATTGCTCAAGACCCATTTTTCAAACGTATCCAAGGCGTTCCTCACAGCGTCGTCCATATCAAAGTACTTGTACGACGCCAGTCTGCCCACGAAAACGATGCCTTCCTCAGCGTTCGCCATGTCCTGGTACTTTTTGTACAGGGCCGTGTTCCTCTCATTGGGCACTGGGTAATAGGGGTCACCCTTGTCAGTAGAGGTTTCATGGTACACCACAGTTTTCAATGGCTTCAGCTTTGTGTGTTCGTATTCCTGGTTTGGCAAGTGAGCGTATTCGATGGATCTGGTGTAAGGGATCTTTGCGGTACCGTAATTCACTGCTGCTGCTGGCTGGTAAAACCTGTGGAACATTATTAAAACCATCAAACAAGACGCAAAACAACAAATAATAATAATTTGTCTTCTTCACTATACAGCAGCATCATGTCACAAAATCTCAATATGTTGAATTACAATATTTTTGTTGGAAATGAGATTCCAACAGGAAAAGTGAGATGAACTTTAGTTGAAAATAATAAAAAATTTAGTCAGCCAGGCTACGGCCGGGGCAAAGCCTTGGTTTAATGTTGTTATATTTAGAAGTCATAAATATTTTCACAGAAGTTTCAAGTGACAAGAAACAGACAATTAAAAAACCAGGATCAAACCATTTGGCGCAACAACCAGTAGACACTTGTGTGGTGGAATAATTAGATTAACAATTATATAATGTTTGGCAAAGTATCTAGAATGCTCTGGAATAATTGAATTGGGCTGCTGTTAGATGGCAGTCCATGTTAATTGAATGTTCATACCATTAATTTATCCCTTTCAGCCAATCAGGTACAGCAGTGCAGATTCCTGGAAGGGAGAGAGTGAAAACCATAGAAGGTTTCTCTTCCAACATTTTTGATATTCTTTATTCCTGAGTCAGTCTGCTGCTAGTTTATCATTCCAATTGTTTCTGATATTTTTACTGTGTGTGTTCTGTGAATTGATTATGGAGAAAAAGTGAAATACATTTATCCATTTATCTTTTTGGGATTTCCTTAGGAAATCCCCACAGATTTTTTCTCAGACCCCTCCAATCAACAAATCCACAATATTATCCAAATCTCATGATGACAATAACTTTCAATTAATATTTTTTGTCATTCAGCAAGGACTTGTGAAACATATGCTCAGTCATATCTTCTAAAATTTTCAAATCCTCAAAAATATAGCATTAAAGAATCCAAAAATAAAATTTATATGAGTACATATTACTTTCTGTACTGAAGTATTGGGATTAATCTGATAGGTCAGATAATTGAATCTTTAATGATTAATGAATTATTAATAATGAAAGCTTTCTGGGCCATGAGAGAAACATCTTTCGCGTTTCAATTAAAAATCATTTTGTGTCCATAGTGGATTTTTGCACACAAATTCTGCGCTTGGATTTTTCTGCTTTATGATTCGTTTTTTGTTGTAGCTGTCTAATTTTATTATTCAATGATAATTTTGAAAGGACATGTGTAAGTTTTTTGTACAGCATCTAGGAATGTAAAGTGCTTTTTGAATGCACATTTTTGACTGCAAAGTACCCAGCAGTTTCATATGTTTCTTCATTTTCCCATTTTTCTTGAGAATATAATTTTTGGCCAAATATTTGGCAGTACAGTAATGGAATCAACAGGTATAATTTTTTACCTGATTTTTCAGGGGAAAAATTTATTAATTAACAAACCCGTTGGTTGTGTTGAAAACTTCTCTGTGAAACTCCAAGCTGCGGTACTCCAATGCTGGAAGACCCGAGGACTCAAAGTACCGATCAATCGGCCCAGTGAAAAAGAGGTAATCGTGAGCACCCAAAGTTCCGCGTTTCCTGGACGTGAAAAACTCGGTATTCAGCTTCACTGTGATGGCAGGAGTGTCAAGCATTCGCTTGAAAATCCTCGTGTAACCCCTTGAAGGCAATGCTTGGTGCGTGTCGTGGAAATACCTGCCGTCTGCGTTGGATCTCACCGGGATCCGCTCCAAAACGGAAGGCTTGAGTTCCGCTGGATATTTGTCCCATTGCTTCTTCGTGTAGTCTGTTCATTGAGTGTATTTAATTGAAAATTAATTGAACTTTGATTCGACATCCTCGAGGCAAAATGTTGAAATATCTGAAGCCACACGAGCCATTATTTATATAGTAATGTACTTGAATACCTTGAACAGAAGCTTGGAATTTAAATGAGGTTTTCATGGAGGCAGATTTTTCCAAATGTTGCGAGCGATTCAGAAATGTAGAAAACTAGAGAAAGTCAACTTTTAAACTGCTATACAATTCCACCATTCATTATATTATTCACTCTAATAATTTCCTACGCACCTCGCCCAATAACAAAAATCAAAGGGAATTAAAAAATCAGATTTTATGGATGTAAAAACGGCGACCAAGTATTTTGAAACCGCCCCAGGGATTTCCCAAATAAGCGTATTTTTTTTCCTGATGTAAAGCGTCGAAGGAACACTTTTAAACTCATATATATGAATTTATGCGATATGATGGAATTCAGTCTGAATTTTTCGTCAAGATTTTTTTTAACGGAATAAATATGAAACTGATTTACGTAGAAGTAGAATTTTCACCTTTGAAAAGAAGTTCGTATAGTCGTTCTCCAACTCTAGATTTTGCTGTTTCCTCGCTGTTTGTTGCCTTTCCGGACGGAGGAGTGATTTGATGCTTCTTCAACCAAGCTTTCATTTCAGTTTCAGTTTCGATTGTCAAATTGAAAACTGCATTCACGGTCTTGATATTCACGGGTACCTGTTTTCAGTTTTATTTTGAAGAAAAGAAATGACAATCAAAAACAATCTGTTTCAACTTTGTTCTTGGATTCAAGCTTGTCATAGTGCTGAAAATACGTGCGATGTACAGCATTATTTTTAGCCCTACCAGGGATTTGATGCTGTTAAATATTTGTCAAGGTATGCTGAACATAATACGCACGCAAAGAAAAATGTTTATGAACAAAAATGACTTATAACAAATTTGCCCATCAGCAGGACAGTATTTTCGAGAGAAAAATGCATTATATTTTGCTAGTTATATCTTTAAATTTTTGAGATCAATGTTGTAGAGATATAGTTCACCTGCGTGCTATAATTTTGAATAACCCTTTTGTATTTAAAATATAAAAAAAAATTGCCAGGCACTCTTTTTCATAATTAAAATTTTGTGCTTACCAAACCTAATACATAAGTGGATTTGTTTTTTTAATCAGGAAACCAATGCATTATGGCTCCATTAATTTGTTACAGTAAAATCTTGTTCCAACAAACTCCTGGCGACCTGAGAAAAAAAAATTGTTCGAAAGGAAAATTTGCTGAAGTATTTTATTGTGGCAGAGGCAGGATTTTTGAAAAATAAGTTCATTAGACACTTCAATATAAAAATATTGAACTGATGATTAAAGCCAAAGTTATTTGGATGTTTTAATCTATTTTATTTCTTAACCAAAATATTTTGGGAGTGCATGCAAAAAACTCTCGCTCTCTGGACTTTTTTCAATCTTCAATCAGAGTATCAACCCTGGATATTTTGGGGTTAGCTATTTTTCTGGACTTTTCAAATTCAGTTGTGCAGTTATACATTGTGGAATGTATTTTCTTTCATTTTGGCATCCATATACAGCTTTTTTCTCTGTTTCCCATTTTGAAGTGATTGAATGCGCTTGAATGGATTTGGGTTGTGTCATGTGCGGGAGGGGGTTTGGATGTGGGAATGTTGATTGAACTTTGTGAATGCTGAAAAGCAGAAAATAAACCTTCCTGTTCATTTATTCACATTTAGTTCAATAAAATGGCGGTTTGGATAACTTTGAAATGCGCTAGACTGAAAAAAAATCCTGGCACTGCCAATAAATGGGAAACAACACTCTGCCATAATTTGCAGGTCAAATTAGAGAGAGAAAAAAAACCACGTTTTTCAAGTAAGACTAAAAATCACAAAAAAATTTAGTAGATTAAAAAATTAATTTAAAAAACCACGTTTTGAAAAAGGAAAAAATAACCTTAAATGTGGTGCGCATCTATTTCATTTGTATTTCACTTCTTCCCAACAATCTCCATGCGCACCATGTTTAAGGTTATTTTTTCCTTTTTCAAAACGTGGTTTTTTAGATTAATTTTTTAATCTACTAAATTTTTTTGTGCTTTTTAGTCTTACTTGAAGAACGTGGTTTTTTAGATTAATTTTTTAATCTACTATAATTATTTTATTCTTTTTAAAAAATATTCTTAAATTTTTGTTTTCACAAAAGATTGCATTGTCATCAGTTTCTAAGCTATCCTGAAAGTTTCAGCTTGCTAGCTAGTCAGGAAGTGAGCAAAATTTGAATTGCAAAATTTGATCCAGACAAACAAATGGACAAGAAAGCGAGTTAATAAAAACGTGTTAAAAAAATAGCACCTGCCTCCACAGTTTGCCCGGTGGCAATTTTAGCCAAAACTCGGTGCTCATAAGGCATCCAGTCCGTGAACTGACTCAAATACCTCCAGACCCCGGCATCCGAGGTGTGAAAAATATGAGCACCATACTTGTGCACTCTGACTGCAGTCTCGTGGTCGACGTAGTCGAAGCAGTTGCCAGCTATGTGGTCCCTCTGCTCCACAATGGTCACTCGAAATCCCTGGCACACATTAACAATTCTTTCAGCAATCACAGCTCCGCTTAATCCGGCGCCAACAATCAACACCCGCCGACTATTGCCTTCAGCAGCATCAGTGTTGTTGTTTTTGTCTTTTTTGCCTTTCCTGTTGGTTGTGGCGTATTCATCGGATGCTGGGATGATGAAAGATGCCGAGGTCTTCTGAACGTTTCTGGGGTGTTTTCCGCTCATGCTCAGGTTTTTTTGAGGCGTGATTTTCGGGTGTTCGGAAGATAGCATGATGTAGAGGAGGTAGATGAACAAGATGAGACCGGCGATGCAGATTTTCGAGGTGGAGAACATTTTCCTGCGAGACAAAGCTGCGACTATGTGATCCATTCCGAGCTCGAATCCACTTCTCATACTTTTATTTCAGAAAAAAAAAAGCATGAGCGAATTTCCAGAGAATTCTGAAAATTTTATCAAGAATAAGAGGCGACGGGATTTTCTGCGCGATTCTGGCCTCAAACTGGCGACGGATAAAGAAATTTGAGACGCGAAAAGCGATTTCAGCTTCGTCATGATGCTCCGCCAATTTTTTCCCCGTCTTTTGCAGTATCTCGTGACGTCAGTGGATTTTTGCAATTTGCTGATTTCATTCCCATTTTCCAGTGTCATGCTTTACAGGGATGTTTTTCTTTTACTTTATTTTCACCCGAAAGGACGTCTGCTGTGGTTGAAAATCGTTCCACGAAGCTTCCATTACGCCTGAAGGCCGTGAATTCACTGCATCGCCTGAGCGACGCGGAACAGTTTTAAAATTATTCCTAGATGTCGCTGCATCACCGCGAAAACTCGAGGGCGTAGAGAAATAAATAACTTCGCCATACCTAACGCTATACTGTATACAGTTTTACAGGCATTGTACGTAAATTTCTGGCGAAAAACCAGCGAATTTTACGGACATGAAAATTATATGTTCGTTGAGTGCGTAACATGCTAAAAAAATTTAAAAGATAAGTTGAAATTTTTAACATTTGAGAACACGGAAATCTGAGTGCAAATAATTATGTAATATTAGCTCAGACGTTGAGAGCAAATAAACAGAAAATGTTAAAGTTTACAAGATTGGAACTTTGAAAAAGTAGTGATTCTAATTTATGAATTAAAAAATGAATTAAGATGAAATAGATTTGTATTGTACATAAATTTTCGATTCGGTTGTGATCATCACTTGAATGACGAATGCCTTGAAATTTATTTTATATAATAATAATAAAAAACTCTGCTTTTTCAATTGAGGGGGAAAATGAAAAGATACATTTTCACAATTTATAATACTGCAGACCTTAGAAAGGTAAATGGGTTGGGGGAAAAGCCAAAAATACAGCTTGAACGGAATACTGTGCAAGAATTGTTATCTACAGTATATGCTGAGATGAAGTCCTTTTTTTTTGATGACAGATGCATATACATACTGCACTCAAAAGCTTTGTCATTCAATTTGAATCCTTCTGCAGCCAAACCAGGATTATTTCCAACATTTTTTGGCGCAGCCACTTGCAATTAAAAGTAAAACTGGTGAATATGCATAAAGTCAAAAATTTGGCAAATGAACAAAGTGGCCCAAGTCTACAAGTAAGTCAAGCACAGAAAAATTCAGCATTTTTCGTTGAATCAATTACAGTACTTCTTGCAATTTTTGGATTACTTTTGTACCTCTGGAAAATGTGTTTCTGTGCAAAATACAGTACGGTATATATTTTAGCTGAACTTAGCATAGGACCTTATCCAATGAACACAACTTATTCTGGCAGTATTCTTGTTAGCTGGAATTTTTGTTAGGTGGATTGGAACAATGCCAACCTTCTCTTTGGGGAAATATCAATTTTTTTTTTAATTTCAAGAACATTTCCCTGTTTGCAGGCTGGTGAAAGAACCTCAAAAACATCACACACATTGACTGGAAAGTACATTTGGAAAGGTTTTTGCTAGGAAAGACCCCACTGCAACCCCAAGTTTCAGTTTCTAAATTATTAGTGCTGTATCTTTTTGACAGCAAAGTCTGCAGAAATATCCCAGCACATTTGCAGAAGGGGTTGAAAGGAATGACTTACAGCCAGTAGCCATATGTAGAAGACTCTTTCTCTCTTCTATCAAACTAACCCCAAAATGAGCAGCAGCAGCTATAGAAGCAGTTCATCAGCAGCCAGCGCACTTTCCAGATGAAAAAGCCAGGTATTCCACCAGCCATCCCCCCA